AGAGAGAGAGAGAGAGAGAGAGAGAGAGAGAGAGAGAGAGAGAGAGAATATGACAATGATGACGTTGTGACAACCGAAACGAACGTCAACGTAAAAAGAAAGAAAAAAAAACACCGTTACAGGTGCCGCGAGTACAAGTTCGCGGTCACCAGATATCGGGCTGACCAGATAGCGAAAAGGATCGAGGGAAAAGGGGAGAGAACCCGCGAGGCTGAGGAAAAGAGAAGGAGACGTGGCACGAGAGGATGCGCGAACCGCTGTGCGGTGCACCGTGTTCGCGTTCGTCAGGCGTTCGAGAAGTGGGAAATGAAAGGGAGCAGCCTAGGCGAGCGAGGCGATCGCTGTGTCAACAGCAGCACCACCAGCGAGACAAGACAAGATTGTCAAAGGCGAGCGAGAGAGCAAAGAGCGTGACGAAGTCGGTGAAACTGTGTACTTTATCGGATGTATATACGTGCATATTTGGGGGCAACAGGGGGAGGGGCAGAGGGGGGACGGCCAGGGGGGCATCGACGAAGGTATCACAGAGGAGAATCGGATAACGGAGACATACGATTGACAACACGCGGTGAAAATACCTGATCCGTAATGTGACCTCTTCGTCGCGCCATTTTCCGTGTCGCAATCGAGTGGCCGCTTCCTGGAGTCTGCAATCTCCGGGGAGGGACACGTCTCCATTCCTGAATCGGCGGCCATCTTGGCTCGTTCGTCACGCACACACAAGAGTGAAACGGGGAGAGAGAAAGAGATATATAACGCGTATGTGTATGTATGCCTCTGCGTGCAACGAGCGTATGTATACGTTTGTGTGTGTGCGCGCGCGTATATAACGTGTATATATATATATATAGGTATATATATATACTTGGTTGACACACAGAGAGAAAGACGATGGCCGCGACCGGGGGCGAGTGTCGTCCAAAGAAGCAAAGGCGATCGGAGGAGACACACCACTCACAAACCGGACGAACGAACGAACGAACGTACGCACGACCACGATAGCTGGTTTCAGGCGGAAGGAAGGGAGACCGACCACGGACGTACGTACGAACGTACGGACGAACAAACAGCGGACGATCTCTCGCGGGGTGCCGCGTCTCACTGGCGACTGCTCGCGGCTCCCTTGCCAACCAGCTGGTTGATACTCGATGGTGTGTGCCTCGGCCCTCGCGTTCCTCTCTCGCCCTCTATCTTCGTCTCGCTCCTATGAGCTCCGATTGCCGGACCACCTCTCTCTTTCCCACCAGCCCTCGCGGGCTCTGTACACCAGGAACGTAACGTTCGACCTGCACCATGGGCGCCTTACCTTTGAGGGCCCGATACATCGATTCGATATTTTTCCTTATCTGAGCGCTCCGCACAAATTCAGAATTCTTCGAAATTGACGCGTATGTTACTAAACCCCGCTATCAATTCCAGGAACTTCATATTCGTTGGCATACCAAGCTTCTACGATCGAGCATTAGATGTTGTATATTATATAATTTATTAGCATTGCTTCGCTGCTTTCGCAAGCACGTCTAACCGATTTAGCAGATATGTATTTCAAAGATGTCGTTTAGCAAATTTCGCGTACGATCTAACGTGAATTAATATCGTATCGATAAATCTTTCTATCGATTGATTTCAGTGCTAATCCTCATGCAGTTACGACTTACGGTATACCACGCGTACAAACGACGCTTTTGTAGAAGGGGTAACTTATTTATTACATTGCTAGATAATATTCGTACGCGAGAGTAAAACTGTCTACGCTGTAAAAACTATTTTCCCCGCCAAGGCCGTTAATCTCGTTGTCGTTGGTGCGCACTGCGGTATGACATCATAGTTCGTGTACAAAACGAACGTGGGACGCCTTTGATTTTTACTAGCGATCCGAAATGTACGATTGCAAGGGTTTATCGGGCGTTATAGTTAAATGACATTTTATCACCGCGAGTCGAAACATTCTACGTCGATTTCCCTGTGTTCTTCGTTAGCTTAACATAATCGTCGAGCATCGAAACGGGTTTCCGTTGCAAATGCTGCATTAGACTATCTTGAAACGCAACGTTCTGTCGTTTAAAGTATCCATTAACTGTAAATTATGAGGTACCATTCGTTATCTTTAGCCAGCCCAAGGGGAAGTACAGCCATGTTGCTTCGAAAAGTGACAATACGTGTGAATATGTTACGAACACGACGTTCTTTACAAATATTTCTCTATGCACATATAGTTACGGTTACAAAGGAAGTATTTTTAAAACTCTTATCTGAGGAAGGAACGCGAATTAGTGAACGTTATTGGTTTGAAACCGAATCGCGTGGTTACATACATAACTTTTCGAGCACAAATAGTCCCCGACACAACAAATGTTTAATATACGGTACAATGATTATCGTTCTATCAATGCGCACGATCAAGTTACGTCCACTACCGCACACTAAATGTTTTCCTTTTACCGATCAGACAATGTAATCATCAGCGAAGCTCGTATGCAACATGTCATACGTATTGTCTTCTAATAACAATTACGCGCACATAGGATCGGTTTGTATTTACCGTGATGAATCATATTTTCTGGTGGTCTAACTGATTTACCATCGAAACAAATAAAATTCCATGTAACACATAATTAAAATAAAAATTTATTTCATGTTACAATCAGTCGTAAAAATCAGCAAAATTATATACTGAAAACCGCTCAGTCAACGGTCGCGTGTCGCAATGCTGTTACTTGTTAAATGTGAACGTGTATCTAGTTGGGCTACAGGGCTACCGACAACAGCGACAATTCGCGAAATGCGCGGGCTCTTCCCTCCCGAAAGGTTGTCTTTAAGCCACGAGGTGGCTCCTGAGTGCTATTAAACGTACGTCAGATAATACGAACCGCGTTCAGACATGTGCGCGTACGACATCTCTCGTGATCTTCGTCTCACCTGTACGAATTAATTTGTCCATCCCGTGCCACTTCCGGTTCAGGCCCTCGTGTTTGTAGAATTCAGGCGCGAACCCATCGACTGTGTATACTGACCGCGTATACGGAGTGTCACAGTGCCTCTCCGTATCCGTTTGTACATATAAGTGCACGGTACATACACCTATTCTGTCATGAATTTTTCGAGCGATGGGAGCCTACCTAGTGTAGCTCGGTATATAATCACCGCACGACCTCGCGTCGATTGCACTTCTCTCCCGTATGACGTTTACCGTGCTTCGCTACCGATTACACTGTTTCGAACTTCTGCACCAAGTGCGCAACGTACTGCTTAACGAGCGTATCAATCGCATTTTTAGCGATCGAGATTAACGATTTAGATCCGAACGGCAAATCTGATTAACATTACTATGTTATGAAATTAATAATCTTTTGCTTGTTTGTAAAAAGCACCCCGACGGTACACGAATTTTTTCCTAAACTCTGCGGTCGTGTTAATTATCGGAAAGTAATGATAAGAGAGCTACGACTGTTCGTGATTGAAATTTAGGAAAACAGCCACTTGAATCTGGCGATTGGGTAATGATCTTGGAATCTTTTCCCTTATTGCGTCACGTGTCCAGTGGGTTTGGATGAAGTAGCGTCTCTATGTATATACATATACATATACATATACATACATATACGTATATTTCCACGCATACATATGTACACGTATATGTACATACGACTATTCCTAACCGGTTTATCGGACGATGCGATTTCTGATTGTGATACATAGACGGTTTCTCAGGATAGTTACCTAACCGCTAAAGAAATAAGTTCCTTTAATGTATTGTCCTTGTCCCACAGCAACTCGAGTGAACGAGCTAGATCCCTTGCACTCTTTTAGACTCCGGGTTAGCAGGCTATCCATCTATACTTACGCGTGAGCGCATATTGTGCTGCACGCACGATGCATACATTTAAATGCTTATCCAAGGCCGTTGCTTTCTGACACATCGCACGCTGCTGTTAATACGTTACTCATAAAATCATGGGTCATGCCTCTTACGAAGCTTCTCATCTGTAATGTTGATAAGATTAGACGTCCAAAGATTTCGAAGTTTCCAGTCGAACGAATAATATTTATCTGCTGGAATGCAACCCGGTATGTACGTAACGACGGTTCGACGAGTCCTAAATCGATACATATTTAACGAAATACAATTATACGAGACGATTCGACAAATATATTAGCTTCCGCGTATCGAATATTATGCAAGCAGAGCAGTACGATTCCTTGCTACGTTGACCTCATTTCTTGGTTGACCTTAATATCGCACAAGGTACTCCAACCTGACCTATATAGCACCTTTAGTCTATCAGCTCTTTGGGGGAAACTATTTTACGTGTGAACACATTGCAAACATGATATCATTTTGTAAGAATGCTAGGTGAAATAGAAAAAGATTCTTAATTACAATCAACCATTACGATTATTTAATATTCCACGAGAGAGAGTGAACGGTTTATATAAATTATATGACATTCTTACGATCAGTCAAACTTAAGACTTATTCATGAAAGATGCTGAATATATAATACAAAAGTCACATTACTTATTATATATTTAATTGTTTTGTCTAGAATCATCAACTATCCTGTGAAAAAAAATCTTTAATCCGTTTCTTTTCGTTTGTGTAAACGCTATTTTGACTAGCGAGTAGATTAAGGAAAACATAACCTTGTTTCAAATCTTAGATAAAGTAGCAGCAGTCCTTGGATAATGACATAATTATATAACACGATGTATCGATAATCATGCATTTTATGTTGCCTGTGACAAAAATGTCCAAGTATTTTATAAGCTTACGCTATCGTCGTAAATAAGTAGCCAGGGAAAAGTATTTTATTAGAATAAATATATTAATCTTAAATACGATGCCATTCCAATATACAACAAAATGTAATTATGAAATGAGTACGTGGTTGTAAATTATTAAAATTTTATCAATAATTTTTTACGTACATAAGCATGAATATATCATATAAAATGATGTATGTATAGTATACAAACGCCATTTCCGGTTCAACAGCTCTGTGTATCATCACACAGATGCTCTAAATTTACTAGCACGTTGTAACTTGCAATTGGTAGATTGAAACTCATGTATACACTTGACCAATAGAAAATCGAAATGCGTCTAGTACTTTTCGTTGCATACACGATAAGATGTCTTGCGCCTGTTGCACCTTTCTAATCCTAAAATATAATGGATCGCGGTTCTGTAGAAACACAAGTAAAAATCTTATTTTTTGCCAAAGCTAGAGAACTAACAGGAAAGACAGAATGTAGAATTACTGTTCCACAGAAGTTGACATATACTGATTTAGCGGATAAAATAATTAATCATTTCAAATTAGACAGTATACGCGATACTTTAATTCTGGCAGTGAACGAAGAATTTGTTCCTTCGAATACTACGCTAGTGCTTTCGGAAAAAGACGAAATTGCTGTTATACCGCCATTAAGTGGAGGTTTGTACGTTATAATAAATTCGGTAAAATATTCTCAATGTAAAAGTTGAGTTGGTGCATTATAATAACAGTGACGCTTTTAGGTTAAAATGGATACACCAAAGAACCTCGTGAGGCTGCTACAGGAAGAATTAAATGTCAGTGAAATAATTGATTCAGTATCATCTCCTAGCTGTGGAGCCATCTCCAATTTTATTGGTATTACTCGTAATAATTTCGAAAATAAAAAGGTACTAATATTTCTTAAAAATTTAATTATAAGTTTAAATCTATTACCAATATGTCTATAATGTTTAGGTTTTAAAGTTAGAATACGAAGCATACGTACCAATGGCTATAAAAAAGATGATTAATATTTGTACAGAAATTCGTTCCCAGTGGAATGTTCATCATATTGCTATATATCATCGTCTTGGAGAGGTGGCAGTATCCAAAGCAAGTGTAGTAATTGCCATTTCATCTACTCATAGAAAAGAGTCACTAAAAGCTGTTGAATATGCCATCGATGCATTGAAGGCTTCAGTTCCAATTTGGAAGAAAGAGGTATACGATACAGAAGCCAGTGAATGGAAGGAAAACCAGGAATGTGCTTGGTCAAATTGTAAATAATATTTTTACATTCCATAGAAATTATACAAGTTCCTTGAAACTTACAATATGTTTACTCACTTATACAAAGTATTACATGTTAAGTTTGAACAATGTATTATAGCATTTTGACATTCTGAAAAGAATACATACATCTTATATGGAATATTTATAGAGATAAATATACAATTGTTAATAAATTGTTGATAAAAGTTTAACAGTCTTGCAACCATTTATCCATTTCATACGTACATCTTTCTAGACTGTGATATGTATCCATCAAATACTCATTTTATATAGCTAGTGGTACAAGACATCAACAATCGGATGGTGCCATTACAGTGCCACACAAGGCTGATAAATCTGTGATAGAAAACATTAATCTAGATGGTGAGAAAGAGGAAGAGGATGAAGATTCTAAAGTTGTAATCGATCCAAACTTAGTTCAAATTCGTGCCACAAATCAAGAACTATATCATAGAATAGAATCTTTCATTGAGAGAAAACGTCAACAAGTAAATATCGTGAATGTACAAGAATTTTGTTGTCACAGGTTGGTTCATCATCACTGTTGAGAATTGAAAATTTCAATTGTGAAGTACTTAGAAGTTACTATTGCAGAGAAAAAAATGATAAAACCGAGGATTCTTGCGCAAGAGTAGACGCGATTCTCATTCGCCGGAAGGACTCTAAAAGTCACGTTAAGGGTAAGTCGAAATAATAGTACTTGTAACAACAATCTGTTGAATATTCACGTACAGATTTCTTTAGTGCATAGGGTACGTAACGCGTGGGGACCGCAAACAATGGATCACCTTAGTTTACATAAAGCTACAATGTCAGGAGCAAATCAAACAAACCATTGTCCTTCCGTGTTGGACGATAGAATTTCAACCGCCGAACGAATTTTAGCGATAAATAGGCCTGTTCCCAAAGATGTATACGAGAGACTTAAAAATATCGAAGATCGAATATTGTACTTAGAAGGGATATCTCCAGAATACAAAGAGTTTTGGGTGAGGATTTGTTGAAATGTTTGGAAATTGTTGTAGTTTAAACGAAGATTTGTATTTTTCAAAATGGCTGATTTCAGAAAGCAGAAGACATCAATAGCCTTAAAGGGACTTTTAAACCAGTTAGAAAAAGGGTAAGTTTCGCTTCATTGGAAACTATTAGATTTTTACTTCTAAGTATATTATGAATAATCAAATTTCAGACATATTCTATGGCTGAGCTTGATTCGAAATTGCAAGAATTAGAAGACAAATACGCCAGAACAATGAAGTAATTTTTGCAAGTTGACAATTAATCTGTACATTGTTGATTTATTGTAACTATTTTTAACTGATATTAGAAATATATGATATACAATCATTAAAAAGTGTATTGAAAGATTTTCCTTAATATATAAATACCGATAATAAAAATCAGTTTTACAACGCTTGGATTCTAAATGTCAACGTTGTGTACAAATACAATGAAAGGCGTGGCTAGCGTTGCTAAGGTAAAGCAAAAACTTTTGTTCGGGCATGTACATACCCTATTAGTTCGTCTTTCAGTTGGTAGAGGCAGTCCTGGTCGTACTGCCATACGGTATGGCTGCGGTTTGTCGAAGTTTTCTCCTTATTCCGATATAATTTGAAGCAAACCATTGATAGTGATGTTTTACTCGCGTGGATGTTCATTAAAAACTAATCGTCCTTTCGAATGTTGGTGAGTACTGTCACATAATTCATTTAAGTATATCTATTTTAATATGTTTGTCGAGCACGCGGCCAGCACGCCGTCTGCCAGGGTGACAAGCATCATCCTTTTCATCTCAGCTGGGTTGATGGACCGTTTGCTTTGATAGCTTTTGTAGTGTTTTTTTTTTTATTGTTTCCGTTTCTGTTAAAGTGTTAGAATTTCATGGACTTTATTTATTTCGTTGAAAAATGTATATCGTCTATTCAAATGGCGATATTCCATCGTAATACTGTCTAATTAAGAATCGAATATATTTATTATACAATGAGTTTTTAAGTTTTGGCCATCTTGGAGAATTTTGGATCGTAGACTCGTCTCTATTTTCGTGACATTTGAGGAGAACCGTTGGAAATCTCCGACGACATTCGTTTTCGGTTTTTCAGCATTTTCATTTCAAAGCAGTGTGTATTTTTATGTATTCTATTATTGTCTCGTAGTAGATTTCTTAACAAGTTTACTTGAATGTGAAACGAAGACATGTAGTTCTTGGTGGAAAGATCTAATCTTAAGAATAAACAGTATAAAATAAGTAAATGTTGGCAATTAGAATACAGTATCGAATGCAACGAAAACAGTGTAATTAAAGTTTCAGTGTAGATCAATCTCTATTGTACTTGTAATTTCATTTACCGTTCCCTGGACGATCCATGCATGTTAATTTATCGACTGTTCCCGTAAATCGTCGCGATACGAACTTCTTATCATAAATGTAATAAAAATATCGCCTGACCTTCTTTGCAAACGTGTTTCTAAATTTGTTAACGCGTCAATGACAAAATTGATGCATTACACGATAATGGACGACTAATTACAAATTCGAAGAAACTTGCACGTACCGTTCTAATGTGTAATCGCATCTTTCACCGGCGGCACAGGAAATAATGTACGATTACAAAACCATAAATGGTAGCGAGATTTCTATCTCGATCAACGAGCGTGCAATTGTTAAAAGAGAAAATCGTGTCGATGGGGTTATTAGAACAGAAATGAACGCGATTTGGAAATTCGAGACTCTACTTTGAGCTAGTCTACTGCATATTCGATAAACGAGAAGTTGGAACGGAACGCGTGTGGTCGATTAGCGTTACGGAACAATTCTTTGTTCGACGTTTGCTTCGAAGGGTTGGCGAAGGTATTTCTGCCTATTCGTACTATTTTTCGGTGAGATCTTGGTCATTTTTAACCATAGTTCGTTGCGTCTTCAAGAAAAGAGACGTATACATTTCAATTGATAATTAAGGTTCATTTCACGTGTCGTGAAGTCACGATTCTTAATGCGTCTGTAATTAGAATATCATGATAGTAGTGGCGGACCTAGACTCATCAGGGACCTAAGCTAATTATTAAGAGTGACTCTTCTTTTCAAAAATATTTCGTATGGCATTAGTATCGAGGGATAGATTCGTCCCTGACGATATTTACCAACAGTTTTCACGGTAATGCTTGTGACATTCAACGACGCGGTATTAAAACTCGTAACTTTAGGATCCTGTGAAAATGAACCTTTTTACTATCGTTACAACAGGTCGTAGAGACCCATATCGTATGACAAATTGTTACTTCCGTGGCCTCTGCGAGGGACAACGCTCCTCCAGTCAACCTAACTCGAATTTTCCACTTGTTTGCTTCGTCAAATGAATTATGTATTCACGTATCTTATAAATAAGTAGATCACGCAAGGAAACCGGTCGTGAAAAGCTCTTAGTAATTTTTTCTTTTTTATCAAATTGACGTATATGCTACTGACTTGAACTTGCTGTTGCCATTTGACGATCGTTAGCGTTGTTTATTGAATATTCATACCCGTTGAATACTTAGAAACTATACACCTACTAGCGAATTCATTCCGATATAAAGTATGTATAAACGTGGCTTCATTGTCGTACGAGTCGATGCTATTTAACCTTTGAATTTGCAAAGAAAAATAGTCGGAAGGATGTTCACTTTGGAGTGAATTTTATATATAGTTTTGTTTATCCAGAGACGTTAGAGGGATTCCAATGTCAGCTTCGTGTTTTGTGTCGTAGTTTTTTTTTTCCTAACGACGACTTTCGAAGACAGTTATAGCGAAGATTGAGAAATATTGAAAGCGATCTTTGGTGTAAAATAATTCTTGTTAGTTTGAGTGTTGCATAGAGTAATAGCAAAGCGTTTGTTTGCTGTTGTGTGAGTAGATTTATAGGTTCGTGCATGAAACCTGTGAGAAGTGTTTTCTCTAGCTAGCGAAATTTGTCAAAATTGGAATCCTATTGGCGCGCGTCAGGACGATACAATAGCGTCAGTGGCGCACCCAGGGGCGTACAAAGGGGCATTCAACGTGGATTCTCGGTTGCATTCTTCTCGCGAGCAAACAGTACATGAAAAAGTATGTATGTCTTTTAACACGTTCATCGCCACATCACCCATATATGGGTGACAGGGATTTTCACTAAGGAATTTAAAAATTAATTCTGAAAATCATGTGTTAGATAAAAACAAGTCTGAATAGGATTCGTGAATTTTGATCAGGTTGTAAACCTGAATACTAACTCGAAAGGTTAGATTACACAGTTTCCAATTGTATAAGAATAAAATTTTAGCTGAATAATAATTTCCATGAGTATGACTGGCACTGAAAGTGTTAACAAGACTGTATCCAAACGGCTGAATGAGTGACCACGAAACTTCATATTTAATCGTTACACCGGAGGTCCTTATCTGGAGATCTGATTCGATCCCAAACAAAATCGGTTCACAGACAACAATACATAGTTGCGTCTTATAGCTTTCCCTCTTCTCTAATATACAGTGGGTGTAGAATGTATTCGTACACCGATCAATTTCCCAAAAAACTTTTGTGTAAAATTGTAGTTTCTTAACTTCTTTTTTTGTAATCAATGATATTTTACATATTCTCGGAAGTCTCTAAGGTAAATATAGTCCAAACAACATTTACTAGTTAATAAAATTTGTGAAATTAACAAAAAAATGCGAAAAATGGGTGAAAGTATAAGAGCAACAAGTATTTGTACGATTCTTATGACGAACCATTTACAGTAGAGTTTGTAACGTAAACGTATTAGTTTATTGCTCCGTATGAATTAGAAAACATTAAATTTCCAGTAAAGCACTTTTAAACAGTTGCGCAAATACTTATTGCTTCAACATTTCTATCGATTAATTGTTTTTTTCTTGTTAATTTCGCAACTTACATAAATAGCTATTTTTTTGTAATCTATCTATTCTAGAGATTTCGGAGAATATGTAGAATGTCATTGTTTATAAAAAAAATAAGTTAATAAATTACTATTTTACACAGTCTTTTTGGAAATTGATCGGTGTACGAATACTTTCTACACCCACTGTATATTCGTTATTTGCAACAATTTAAGAAAATGTTCTGTATAAATATCGAAAGAAATCCAATTTTAAAAAGTGCAGCAAGCTTTTCTCCTATCTCCTCTCATAAATTGTTAGAATGCCACCCACTCGTCTCTGTTAATTTTCAAGTTGCACCCCTTGGTTAAATCGCTGGGTGCGTCACTGAATAGCGTACCCCGTGTATCGTGACCGTGCCAAATCGAGAACGAAACACCAAAATAGTCGATCGAGCGAAACGTGACGAGACACGGTTAATTGTCCACCGTGAGAAGCGACGATTCACGATACACGTTTGCACATATCCGTCGCGTGGGTTCAATGATGCAACCAACGAGGTAGCGTTGGTCACTTCCGGGTCATTCGATGGTCGCATTCACCGGCCGCTTTATCATTCGACTGGGCCACTATCGGAAATACCTGTTGGCGGTCTCAAGAACGAGTGGGAGGATTATGTCTGTATCGCGGCTTGTTTGCTACCGCGATCAGGATCCCCTTACTGCATTTGCATATATAATCTGCAAGCTCGAAAGCTACCGCGGCTTTTCTTCTCGCATTTCATGCGGTGATCGATAGTTCCGTAAACCGTTCCGGGTCATTCTACGCGAAACTGGACACTCCTTCAGGCAACATTTACTCAACTGCACTGTAACTTGGATCTGGTGTTGTCTTAACGACATTTCGAGGCTATTTTACAAGACTTTCTGAAACTTTACGGGTAGTTAAAAAATACTGGTACTGTTTCTGTAATGTTAGGCGTAGAAGTTAATTCTACGCCTTTGTAATCAATTAATTTTAACTCCAAGAATTAGAGTTAGTAGAAATACTTACTTTTCATTTTATTGTATTAAAATACAATCTTCTAAATCCTCAACTTAATGTCCTTGAATCGATAGAAGATTGTACAATGACGAGTAAGTATATCTGTTTAAGCTAGAGCTATCGATGATTAGATACAAAGAATTAATTTCTACTCCTAATAAATCATAAATGTCGAAGTAACAGGTGAGAATTGACATTTTTTTTAAACATCTTTCAAATCTTTCTTTCAAATCTTCAATTTTAGACAACGTGATGAATTTTCGGTGAAATTGCAAGTGGTACTTTAAAGAGTGTCCGATTTCATTTGGAATGGCCCGTTCGTGAAATCAGGCGGCGAAAAAGACCCAAGGTGGGGGAAATTCACCTAAACTTGTTACCATTCGTGCGATGAGAATCGATCGGTGATTTGCCCGGGAGGATCGCGTGTTCCATGCATCACGGAAACTTAGGTTTTAATTACACCGCCGAGAACAGAGGTTAACAACTCCTATTAACCAACTTCCTTGCGGCGCTAACGATTCACTTACTCGAATAGTCGAGTGTGGCGGATTTCACGCGAAGCTGGGACACTACCTTTTCTTTAGAAAGACTCTGATACCATTCACAGAGCAAACTGAATCGCGGCGAGCGCTTTTAATTCGCGTACTGCCGTTTGGAGCTCGTTCGCCTCGTTTCCATTTCGTTTACCGTCTAACGGATCGACAATTTCTCGGTGAATAGACTGTGGATGTTTATGCAAATTCGTATTTTAATACATTCCGACGAAGGGTAGAAATTTGTATTAAAGTATTTTTACGCGTTTCCGCACACCCTTGTATATTTACGTATGTCACAAATGCATGAATATTCACAGTTTGGTAATTAAAGTTTGACGACGAATCTTGCGAAGTCGTAAAACTTCAATTATCATTTTCTTAATTTTCGTCTACTTACCACACTATGCACTCTACCAAAGTATCGATCTATCCAGATCACCTTCGTTACCTAGATCGCTGTGCCGATTTCGAAAAGACTGGCCTTCTCAGGAAAAGTATGCATAGTGCCTATGTATTTGTACAACGTAACAGAGTACACACGTATCCTTAGCGGAGTGTGATAAAAATCGGACGAAATTGCCTTGTTGCGAGCTTTTTACACTTTTTACATTGTCACGACACCGAACAACCCCTGTTCGTTTCTTGCTCGTGTCAGGAACGCGTTGCTACGGTGATGGAGAGGTTGCGAGTAGGTCGACCAACGTCGGTCAGCACAATGTCGTTGCTGAGGTAGCTGATCAGGATCGTGGACGAGTCGCGGTCGGATCGTCTCCTCAGGAAGTAGTACAAGGGCTCCCAGTTCTTCGAACCGGCACAGATCGAGCAGATCGTCTGCCGGTCCTCTTCCGTGATCTGACTGATGCACTTGATGAAGGTGCAGAACTGCAAACTCGTCGCTGGGGCGTTGAAGGTTCTGAGCTGCTGGCCCATGCCGGCCAGGAGCCGATAGAATTTCCGACCGCGGAATCTGTTACCGAGTATATTGATCGTGTGCAAATTGCGGCACCTCTCCAGTATGCGGATCAGCTGAGCAGAGCGTAGGTACAGTTTCGACGTCGAGCCTGCGTACGTAAAATCAGAGATCGTGGCCGCTTGTTTGGCAACATGTGTTTTGGGAGGAGGTCTGTTGTTTGATATTCAACGAACGCTGAAGCTTGGCTTCAAAAGCGTTCCGCGAATGGATGTTCTCTTTCGACACGTTTCCAAACAAGAGCGTTGCGTTTGCTCGGCTGTTGAAAGAGAACGTTTTTAAAGCAACGCGTTGTTTAATATTCGACTAACGAACGAAGCTCTGTTTTACAACGGGGTTGCGCGTCAAACGGATCTCTTTCAACACGGCACTAAAGTCGAATGCGATATTCTCTGTTGTGTGGCAACGCGGTGAAAGGGAGTTTTTGTAACCCAGGCTAAAGACTGATACTTTGATAAACAAGTAAATTTGATTGTAGAATGTCGATGACTGCAATGGAACCTGTGCAATTGGTAACGTGCAACTCCTCGAGCCTTTTGTTCGTGATCGGTAACTGTCGCAGGATTTCGTCGCAGTCCGCTCTGACGCTTATGCTGAACGTCCTCAGCAAGGGCATCCTCTTCAGCTCCGTGATCACCTTCATAGTGTCCTGTTCGTTGTTCGTCACCTGGAATTAGCATTGTACCATCTTTCGTTTGTGATTTGTCAGGTTACAGGTTTTAGCAGAGTTACAGTAGTGTCCCTCAGGTTGAGACTCGGTTGGGAATCTAGTGGTCTCAACCGGGTAGGCAAGAATCAATCCCATCGGGTTTATTCCATGTGTTCGCGTGGCTTCCGGGTATTAAACAGCTGTATTCTGTTGGGAAAGCATTCTGTCGTTTCACCAGCATCGCGGTTAGCTTCATCGGAGAACCAGATGACGAGGTACGCGCTGATACGGATACGTTTTCTGCGGTTATCGTCTATTTAAGGCACCGATGCTCATGTAACGGATCAGTGGTCAACGACCGCGGATCATTTATTGGTTAGCACGATCGATTGGAAACATTGAAAAGAATGTACTCGACAAACCAACTGAACCAGCTCATAAATGCTTTACAAACACTATTAACCCTTTCGGTACTACTCCCGCCTATAGGCGACATCCACGAAACGAGTTCGATTACTAGACTGCGGATCTTTATGCATTTATAGGAAATTTGAATGTGCAAGAACCTACAAAATGCAAACAATATGCAAGAATATAAAAAAGACTGAAAGTAAAGTTCATGTTATACTATTTGCAGAACAAAATAAATTCCTATTTAGGTTCAATTTTTCTAGGCATGCTCGCGAAGATTTTATTTTGCATAAAGATCCGCAGTCTAGTGATTACTTTCTATACTATGCATTACAAAACTAGAAAAGTTTAGTGTCAATCATGCTCGAGATTTCTACAAATGGCGCAAAACACGTTCTCGCGGCTGACGCTGCCGTACGGTGCAACCACTCTTGCGGAAAACTTTCTCGTGCCACGAATGTATAACCGCGGCCAGCTCTTCCGTACCGAAAGGGTTAATTGTAGGGGTGTGCGGGATCCCGGTCGGGACGGGAATTCCTCCCGGGATCGGGATGGAATCCCGAGAATTTCAAAATCCCGAATACATCCGGGATTCCCGTGAATTTCCGGGATCCTGAAACCATTCGGGATTCCCGAGTGTTGAATTATAAACATATAATTTGACTTCAACAAAGTGAATCTAGCGTTGAGAGACACTGCCCTTTTCTCTGTAATTTAGAGTATCGGACTGGCACCACCAGGTCCGAAGACCCTTGACTGTTTGTCGTCGAAGGCCAGGGTAATAAACAGAGCGCAGGCAGGCCGTTCCTTGAACAATAAACGTGTCCTTCCGAGCCATTTGAATAAACGTAGAATTCAAACTTATTAAAAAAACTCATTTATTACACCCATATCCAATACCCAGAATTTCGAGATCCCGTAAATGTTCGGGATTCCCGGGAATTTCGAAATCCCGTACATTCGGATTGCTGAAATTTTCAAGAATAACAACACTTTCGGAAATCCCAGATATTATTCTATATCCTGTACATTGTCGAGATCCCGTACATTCTCGGGAATCCCGCACACCCCTAGTTAATTGTAATTTTTCGCTATACGACTCGAGCATTATTCGATTACCTCGTAAGTTCGCCACAGAAATGGGTCGCGCGCAAGTTGCTCGAAGTATAAAGAGAGGCGTCTGACTGTGCACAGGTCCTTGTACGCGAGGTAGGAGAGGATTTTGAAGATGATCTCCACTGGTAACGAAGCGATTCCCGTCGTAGGGAACGATGCCGTGTCCACGATCCACGCAGTGCACTTGTTACCGATTTTGGCACGCTTCCTAATGGGCTCTCGAGTGATCGTCGCAGACACGTCCATCCTCGTTGCGTTTCCATTGTTACGCGCTCGTCCTCTCACATCGTCCTCTGGCCGTAGGCAATGTTTACGGTCGCGGTGCTCGCCATTTTCCTTTCTTTTGGGTTTACTGCATCGAGCAGATGGGACTGGAAATTTTGACATCTGTCAGACGTATCATCCGCCCATCGCTTTTGTTTTCACTCGAACGATAAATGGCGTCTATCGTTCGTACATTCTTCCAGTTGTTTATATTTTTGCTTTCTTTACTTCTGTCCTGTGCTCGTCTGATTCACGAGACATTTTTCGACGGGGAATCGATTAAATTGAGGAATTCTTCCCTTACGTTAGGTGTGGGGTTAGGCGAACGTGTGCTATGATAACAACGGACACGTTTGTGCGTCACCTGCTTTTTACTTCCGTTGGGGTGTTACTGTGGAAACACGAGGTGTTCTCATTTTTTAACGAGAGTGACATTGAAGAAATCCTAGTAAAACAAATAAAATTAACAAAGTCGAACCTCTACTACGAGCAAACTATTGATGCTACATGTGCCCCTTGAAGCCATACTACTTTCACCAATAAACGCTTCCACCCGTTACATAAACTAGCAAAGGCGTTAAAAGCCTCTTTCCACTGAGCCACCCTCCATCGATCACTGATCAAATCGAGATCAAGAAAGAAAAAAGATTCTAATTGTAACTATCCATCAATCGAGTGGAACAGTTTTATCGTTGAAGACAGATGCTTGGCGATATAGCATTCGCAGACTTATTAAATATTGAACGAGTACATTTATGAAACAGTCCCTGAATTCAATGTATATTCAAGGAAAAACGAATGGAATCGATAGATGGCGTACGGTTCCAATATTTGATCACCGATGCTGTTTCGACCGACCTGTCCTTCCACGGAACACGATCTTCAGGTTTTAATCGTGGACGCCGGTTTCTCTTTAATTTTCTTTCATCGCGCACCTTGATCCGATTACCCACATAAACTCGCACAGTCTGGCAAGAGTCAAGGTGCAGCTACATCGCGGTTATATTTGCCACCCATTAACATTCCAGCGCCAGAAGAGCAAAATGCACGGAAACGCAGAACGGAAAATCGATGCCAGCTATAAGTATGCGACTTAACGCGAACAAGTAGAACAAGCTAAACTTGTTCTAATAGAATCCCATTTTTTGCGACTTTCAAACTTTCCTGTGTCAAACAGAGGATAAGCTCAAAAGATTCAAAAAGCAAAAGCTCAGATATCTTCTTCACTCGCAAATTAATTGAAAATAATTACGAGGTAGAATTCTTTAGACGAAGCGCGAGATTCTTCTAAACGGCCCCTGTGCGACAGCACAGGTTGTACGTTCATGAGAAGTCGACGCCGAGTACAGTCGAAACAAAGCCAATCGACTCGAGGTAGAACCAGAGATTATGGCAGAACAGGAACTCTGTCGGCGCAGCGAATGCCAGCGACGCGGGTGGCGCTTACTAATTCGTTGGCTTCGTTGGTTTTCGCTGGCACAGTTATCGACGTTTTTGTCGAAGCGTGTAATTACACGCCCAAAACGAACAACATGGGAAACGCGAACGCTAATGCTCTCTCGTTACGCTGAATGCGTCGTTAACAAGATTGACGTTGCACATGCTATGCCCTCGAGAGACTTTCCCTTCGAACTGACGATCCTCGATCGACGATGAGACAGGTCGTTGGGAAACGAGTTTATCTTGATCTCAAATATCGAGACATAGATTCCTTATGATTAAGTTAAGATTATAGGCAATTGAGAACTGTCTCAATAAATTAATGAACATGAATGTTTATGATTAAAGAATATTTTTCCTTGTAACATTCCAGATACATCATGTTGTCCCAAACGAAGAGCAACACGACTGGAAAGCTGGAAGGGAAACGACCAAAGGAGCTGATGTCGTCCTCCAGTCTTTCTGGTATGTCACAGTTGTCAAACAGCAGCGAAGAAACACTGGAACCCCTTGTACATAGGCCGCACAAATCCGAAACGTTGCAAAGGTACGAATGAAAGTTCGAAGAACCACTAACGCAAGTTTCAATACTTCATTTCCGCGATACGTTCGTTTTCTCTTGTTATCTAATACCTCGTTAATCAAATGTGTAACGCATTAAGCTGAACTGTAAATAATTCAAGTGGAAAGTATTTCATAGAAACGTATACTTTTTTACCGACGTCTGATAAGCGCTCTATAGAACTACGTTACCAAAGGAAACCTTTTCCGTGTATCCACTTGTTTCGTTTTCAACATTCTAATTTTCCCGCGCTTTATGTTACGATTTTTGTAATATGCTCTTGCAGCACAACAAAGGACAAGAGTCCTCAGCACAACGAATGGCTATTGAATGGTCCAACTGGAAACAAAACATCTATTCTACGTTTCAAGTGAGTTACAAAAGTAACATCTACATTCTCGTGATTCTATCTTCGTTACACATTTCATTGTGTTTATTAATTATTTTTCAGATGTTCCGCGTTAGCAACACCTCCAGAAGAACCACCAGCAAGGAAGTTACATATGACCTATAAGATTTTTCAAACGGATACAAAGCTCATCAATCTCTTGCTGCAATCCCATGGCTTAATAGAGGTGAGTTGTTTTTGTATTTATATGAAATAACAGACTTCGAAACAAAACGGCCCAACATTTTCTGTACGGAATTTTTATTATGATCGGATGCCATGTACCACTCAGTTTTCAATTGTCATTCGATACAAATATATATAAAATTTACATTATTTTCGTCTCGAAAAGAAATTCATTCCGTTTGTCAATATGTTTTATTATATCATTTGTTTCGTCATTAAAATCGCATTTATTATGGAAACATTGACTTTTTTGTACAGGCAGAGACATTTTAAATTTTAGACTTAGTATTATATATTTTGATTTATTTGTTAGATTAGTATTAATGTATAGTAAGTTACTATAACATGGAATAGCCCTATACATTTCTTCGCGTTACACGTAATACATTATTATTGCATGTTATTTCAACATTTATAATCGTAACCAAACACGGAGTCGAACAGTATACATATTTTTCTAAGAAAACGATCTATTATTCTTTTTAGATTTACGGTTTCATTTATGTTTACCTAATACGTAACAAACTTTTCTTCGTATTTTTTTAAAAATACAAATTGTCTTATGTTCATTAAGAAAATGTTTAATACTGACAATTTTACAGTCTATTAAAGAATAACAGATCCGAATTAAATGGCAATTGCTGGTTCATGAATCGAACTTTTATGGAGCTAATTTTATTATTAGTACAGTAGGTGTAGTAAGTCTGTTATTGAATACAGTTGCTCCAAAACCAATGTGCTCCTGGACATAGATCCACATCCAAATTTGCCCGAATCAGTGTCGTCCTTAGCATCCTAACGCCTTCACAATCTAAACCCCAGTTCGCCAAATTTCCAATTTTTCGCAATCTTCTACAGTTTTTAAACATATTTAGCACGGTCGTTGCTGACACTTTACTGACCTCGTATATATAAAAACAAGTCAGATTTTGTACTAAACTATTTTCACACTTATCAGATTTTCTCGAATGTCTGTGCTTATTCGACGCACTCAACAACTTTTCCAAATGTTCGTTTGTAAGATCGAAGCAGCTATGAACATGCAATGCTGTCAACTGTGGAGCTAACAAAAGAATTTTTGTTATCGCGACAGCGCTTACTATGCATCCCAATTGAATCTTCTTCAAACTTTTCAGCGGTGGGGGATCGGGTCCTTCGTTCCAAATTGTATTCGAACCATCGTTAGTGAATGTTCTGAGGTTGCAGCAACTGCTGAAAATTTCTTTCAAGTCCACTTGTATAGGATTCTCGTGTTGAGCTATTCTGAGATTAAGTTCGCGTAAATTGTGACCGTTCGTGCGAAGATAGTCGTAGAAACCGTCCAGCCATTCTTTTTGAGGTGGTATACTGTGCACACTTAGAGAAGTAACGTAAGGGAATAGTCGCAAAGCTTCAGGTGGATGATGAGGTTCCGAAATGTGTAACTTTTCCACTTTTGGACATGCCTGCGCCAAAAGTTCCAAACGAACTGGCGTGGTTCTGCAACTTCTCGCTTGAGTTAGGCTAAACGAAGTTTTAAATCCAACTAGCCCTTTGCTCATGATTTCCACCACTCTTCCCATATGGCTATACTCTGCCAAGGATTCCAATTGTGGAACATGTACCAAAGCCAGAAGTACACCTGCACTGGTCACCCCAGTGTTTGCAACATTGAGTACTCTGAGTGTATCGCAGAGAAAGTTTCTGCTCTCATAATATTCCAATAGCACCCCATGCTTTTCCTTCTTTTGCGACGTAGAATTCTTCATCTTTAATTTAGAAAGCAATGTTTTCAAACGAGACCAACTGGTAGGTTCTTGCATTGCTGCATGAGGCACCTTATCTCTAAGTTCTACTTGCAACAACAATTGCTTTAATCCTATGTCTGTCACTTGTCTGGAACAGGCTACATCCAAAAGTACCAGTTTTGGACAAGCCTTTCCTACAACTTGAAGCACCACATCACTGGCTATGTTACGCAGAGTCAGACTTACCAGATTTTTCATATTCACAAGTGCAGATCTCAGTAATTTACAGTCTAATCTTAGTAGAGCTGAACGTGCAAACTCCAAAGATTCTAGTCCAATTCCTTCTGTCGCGAGTAGTCTTAACAAAGATGTCTGATGACTACATCCATAGTAACAACAGAGATTCACTTTCAACTGCTTTATATCATGCCCAAGAAGCAGGGCCAGTAGATACAAAGGAGCTGGTCCAGAAATTAATGTTGATCCATCGGATGCAGGCCCGTACAACATTTTCGATGTCTCCTCTACAACTTGAGACCTTAACCGTGCTGGCAGAGCATTTATATAGTAAGGTCTGATAGTCTGCTTAGCGTAAGCCAACACTTGTGCGGTGGATGACTCTTGTGAAAGCACCTGAAGCCTTCGGCACGTTCCGTCGAGCTGTTGACACACACGTCCCAAACTAAGCCCCTCTAGGGAGTTAGGCTGACGGTGGCCAGGCATCTTCTCTTGTTCATTCACTGTAATGTGTGATACATTTATCAATGTATAATAACAATAATAATACAGTAATGATTTCAATATTTATAAGAAGATTAGGACTAGGTTGTTATAATGTTCGTATGTTTGTATGTTAAAGAAAGTTATTATTGTCAAGCATTATGAAATGTGTATGAAGGGTTAGTAATCGAAATAATGTTAGTGTTATGATTTTGAGGTTAAGTATGTTCGAAACGCATTAGGTAAGTTTCCTTTTCTTAGACACTAACACAAACGTTGGAGATATATTATCCAGACCGTATTAATTGACAGAAGCAAAGTAAACAACTTTCCTACGTAACTAGCAGTAGTAAAAAACTCTCGCTTTCATTCGCGTTTTAGACGAGAGGACGCCCTGCTTTTGTTCTATCATATTTCTTACGAAATTACATGCTAAGGAATTAAAAAGGACATGAAGGGGTTGTTATTGTCATTAGAAATGGGACGATTGGTAAGTAGACACGGGTATTTGACGAGACAGCGAAACGAGTGCTTTGACATTTAATTAAAATGCAAATTTATTCTATAACTATTTTTGCACTCGAAACAGACGATATATATTTACATATATGTATATGTACATCAGTGATAGAAGATTACCACTGTTCGAAACAATTAGAGGATCATGTTTCCCGCCATTTTACTTGTGCTAAGCAAATCTCGTATCATTTACGATAATATTTTTAGACTAACCAATCTACTGGCATGTCTGAGTATTTTGCAATACATTCCGTGTTCTAATGATAGTTTATATTGCATATCATCGCACGCAATTAGGTAAATACGCCATCAACCGGTTGTTATTCGACATTTTTATCCAGATAAGAAATGTTCCTACGTCATTAGTGAATTAGAAGAAAAAATGCTTTGCAGCATTAACTCTCGAGAAGATATCGAGGCTGTGACAATATTTTTAAGGGCATAAGTGAAATTCGAGATTGAATTATTACAACTCAACCTCGTTAAATTCGATAAAAGAAATGTATTCATGCGCACACATGCTCGTTTCTCCTTCGTTATTCCCTGTGTCGTGATATATCTATCAGGGAAACTAGAAAACGTGCTTCGCTTTTACGACGCAGCATCGTGCTTTACAAAGCTAATAAACAGGCATAGTTATTACTTTCGTGCCTCCGCTGTTTGTTATCCGACATTTTCCGTTTCAATAATACGAGGAATGCTAATTTATTACCTAACATATCGCGCCTGAAAATAATCATAATCGACTGAATTATTTGACCACATAGTATAACCTACAAAAACAGGATATTCGGTCGGTACAGTCACGAATCGACGACCACGTCCATAATTCGTCCATAGGTAGAAATTGCATTAAAAGATAGCGATCGTTTTACTTCTTATTTTAATTTGAGGGAGCGAAATAGGTGAGAACGTTCCACGAGCTCGCAATTAGTTGAAACTCGAGCTTCGTCTTCGACACGCGAGCGTACATAAATAGATCCACGATAATCCAAGCGATTCCCATACTCGAGGTACTGATCCACCTTTAGCTCATGCATTTCGATTCTCTAACTATTTGTTTGAAAATTTATCGCGATCGTAATTGAAATAAATATTAGGTAGCACTTTATCAGAGGTGTACATCCTACGCTCTCCATCGCCTTTATTTTTAGCATTCCCTTAAATTTCATTTTATCACGCGTTCCAATGTAGTTAAACGCGTCACTAATGACCAGCCTAGTTATAAATACAGTAGATTCGTGAAACGTGTTGGTCGTAGGAGGATGGCGTTGAGAACGATTGAAGGAAACGAGTCCGCGCGCCAACTACAGAGAGATTCGAATTGGCGACGACGCCACGGCCTTCCGCCGAACTTGGAAATCCAAGCAGAACACGTGACGCTCGGCAACGTTGAAATCAGAACAATAACGCAAATGATGCACGCCAGGCTCTGCCGCGTGAGTCGTTCACACGATCTGTTACATAAAAGCAAACACAACGAATCCGACGCACGCCGCTGCGACACTTTCACTGGACCATTTTTTTTCGTTCATTCTACTTGCGAGCAATCGACGCTACTTTCTAGTAACGGTATTTAAAACCGCCTGACACTATGCGTGCGCGTTTCTACACCGATCGATGTAATTAGAAAACAATCGTATGATCAATGTGTATTGTACTTTATTTAGTTTCTGAGATTCAACTTACAAACGAAAGCATTCAATGTTTTGATAAAAGTAAGAATGGATATTCATGCGATCAACGCTTCTCCACATTTAGAATAACAATAATGTTGCTCATGAATAATAAATAATTTGGAGAATAAAGAAATGTTATCGATCATTCACGAATAAATCCCGAGGTTTGTTCATTACGCTGTTTTCAGCAGCGTACTTTACGTCTCGATTGTTTAACGATTCAAGGTATACCAAACGTATGCTGTCCACGCATCGCGGCTGGAATTGGACGATACAAAGGAGACTTTGACTGTTTTGGATACAGAAGACAGATTTTGAAAACAGCTGTAGGCTCATGCGCGCGCGATTCAGTTCAAGAAGTACGAGTGTTTCCCTTGAGAGGAGTACATTGTTTTCCTACCACTTTTGTCTATCACCGATTTTTACTGTGCGATTTAATCAGTGTACACATCGTATGCGTTTATCATCTTTAAAACATGATAGTACTCTACATATCTGATACGGTGAAATATTATAAACAACAATCTAAGAAAAATGCATGTTACCGTTAGAGTATACAAGATATCAAAGAACAGGATTTTACTTAGGCAGCCTGTATATTTATTTCCTATTAAACTAACGACTGACGCGAATCTAGCCACGTGCAATTCACGATCCCAAATACTCTGATTGTCATAGATAAGTCCCTTTCGCTAAGACTGTAGACACGCACATGCAGTGATTAATTTGGACAGGAAGAGATACGATTAATGATCGCATTCAGGAGTAGGTAGTTAGGCGTAGGATGTCTAAAGGGAGCCAAGACAAGGATACAGAAAATTCTGTGCAATTATCGTAGTTTCCTTTCTTCAAGATCACACGAAAGATTATAGCACAGCAGTCAACGAACGCAGCAGGAAGAAGCGATTGAATACAGTCCGTCAGGTTTTTAAGTAGAGGAGATGCATCGAAATCGCTGGGTGAAGATTTTAGTGCCGTTTTCTAAGAAAGCATAAAGAGTTTCAGGAAAGCAACGTTGAGGATTGTCGTTAGTGGTAAGAGAAATGATTGAAAAGATACTCAGGCGTCAGGTGCCTACCTTGAAACAAGCAAGTCCCCTACGGATGTCTCCTGAGCTACAGCTCGTGCTAGACTGCCATCATCACGGAATTGCATGCGCTGCTGGCTCGACTCGTCCCGATTCGGTTGAGTTCGCTTCGTCTCGTCTGACATCGACCTGATTCGCCTCGAGTCGGCTGGCTTCGGTGCAACTCGGTTCGGCTCTCGACCTCGTCATTTAGCTTTCTGGTTGTCCACCACATACAGTAGCACACTTCTGCGTGCGACTGAACGTGTTCGACCACTCTGCTGCCCCTTTCGCCAAAGAGACATTAAAACACACTCGTTTATTTATTTATTGACCCGCCGCGATTATAGGATATCTCGCGATTTAATAAAGAGGGACTCATTTCTGAGAAGAGCACTCTATTTATCCTCTCGAGCGATCGTTGGTGGTCGAGTACCGACGTTAGATAATGTGTATATAAAGTAATTTCGGGATAGCAGTGTAAATAATTAAAATGTTGATTTTTCAGCGAGTTAATCTCTCCAGGGACGAATTTTAAATGAACTTTTTCTTTACCTTAATTGAATACACATAAAGCAAGGCAATTCCTCATCAAAATTGTAGATTCTTTGGCGAATTAACTCTCGTCTGGATACTAGTTTCAACGAATTTTTAAACGTTGTTTATTCATTATGAAATCTTGAATATAATTCACCTTGCTCCGCAGACTGCAAGCCTCGCGTTTAACCATCCGAGATATCGTTCGCGCGATCTACGCATGTAGATCGTATCGATTGACTCCGATCAAGATCGACCTCGTCGTAATTCGATGCCGTTCGGTTACGATTCGACGCCACTCGAGTTCTAATAAACTTTGTTAGGCGACCGCCGTTTCCACGAAATCTTTGACGTCGTCTCGCGAGTTTCCGTTAATCATCGTTTAGGAAAAAAAAAATAGATTAAAACGTAGACACGTTAACCGATCAATTAGTTGATTCACGAGGACGTTCTTCTTTTAGAGTTTAGACGTCTGGTGAACCTGAGAAATGCGGAAACGAATTATGGACGCTTTACGATGCAGAAACGTTTTGTTGCAATTTCGTACAGGTAAGGAAAATAGGAAATAGCGTGGAGATAAGATAGGGGGTGTACTGCAGATGTAGGCTTCATATAAGGGGAAAATTAGGGCAGTTTACAAGGTATGAAGCAAGTTCTGCATAAGATGCGCGTGGTTACCCCCATTACTTGGATTTACTCGTCTTCCATCAGGTTGGGAAGAGAAGGACCAATATGGACGACTTAGTTGCGTGCTTGGAGGGGATATCGAGGTAATCACGCGCCTCTTAGACAGGATTCGTCCTAATTGGTGCCTTATACCACACTTTCCATGCTACAAGGAGCGGAAGTAAGGAGAAGGGTCGCGATGATGTGGCTCGACGACTTCCCCGTAGGCTACGTGACCGTGAACACGCACAGGCTCGTTGACTTTTCGTTTCATTTATCGATGCAGACTCTCTTGTTCCGCCCATTCGCAGCATAATGGACTCGCGTTTGCGTCACGAACACCGGGATAACATTGGATAGTTAAATGATCGAACAAATACGCATTGGAAACGATTCTCTTCTATTCGCGCGTTGTTTCTTCAAGTTCAACCACAGGGCGGAGAACCTCAACACCTCTGTAATTATCAAGGAAGCAGCTCTCCCCCCACCACCTCTCTCTCTCTCTCTGTTTCCCCATGCAGTAATCGATGTTGCAATAATCGAGGTCCCTTTAACATCTCCAGAGAAATTATTCGAAATTGTACGTTCGTCGACAGTCCGAGGAAGTCAAGGAACACCAGACCACAGCTCGCGAAGGTTAGGCCCTAAGGCTACGAATCGACTCGACTCGAAGGCTCCTGGCCTCGTTAGCGTCTTTCTTGATAGCGTCGATCGGTGTCGAGGATCGATCGAAAAGAGAACTGCACTCGCCTCGGAGCAATGCGGAAATTAAATAAGAAATCCGCCGACAGCTACCCAGGGATACGGTACACGTTGCACGTAGACCGATTTCTACGGATATTCTACATCGCACGAGACTCCCGTGGTTCGGAGGACCGGTTAATTTTTCAGTCACGGACCTTTCCAAACGCGACCCTCAAACGTTATCCCACCATGGGTCCGTCTGTGTCCTCACCTGTTGTTCGTCATAGTCTATAACGCAAACCCCGAGCTGGAAATTACGTTCACGTTTCGTCGACTGTTTATGCTTTGTACCAGATGTTCCTGCTCCTTTCCCCTCGTGGGAGCTTCTTAGTTCCTGTTATTTCGTTAGATTATTCAGGGGCTAATTACTCATTTAAGAGAGTATCTCAGCTTATTGTTAGTCGTGCGAACAAACATTCTTCAAAAAGGGACTACGCAAGATCACTTTTAGTAGATTTAATTTGGATTACCTACCTTACTCCCTTAATTCATTATGAACTTTTATTCCTTTTTTAAATTTCTTATTTCCGAATAAGGAGTACTAAATTCAAATCTGTTTATCTGGATCAATAACTAATACTGGCCAGGAAGTAAGTTGGAGCTATCGAGATGGCTCCAAAGGGCATCTCTGATGGTATCGTTACGATGGTTGGTAACTAGTCGATCTCGTTACTATCTCGATCATGGTTTACGATCGCTGTTTGTTTGATCGTAAAGCTACGAACTATGTACCGGCGTGAGTCATCGAGTCGAGACGCCATCCACCGTTGATTTATGGACGCCATTACCGCGTTATTCGTGAACGTTAAAAGCGATCGTGGTAGATACGCTTCCACCGTTTAACCCTTTGCACTCCACAGACGCCGCTACGGCGACCCATGCACGTAATGTGCACCACCACTCGGTTAGAGTTTATGGTAATCCAATTTGAGTGGAGCCAACAGTTCGCGTATTCGTGTAATCTGAAGCACAGGTTTCATTCAAACGACCCGATATTGCGCACTTCTCGTCAGTAATCTCCTCTTTGGACGATGACTCTTGATCCGTGTTTTGTCGCGCAAAAGCGTCCTTCGCGGTGATTAGCAGTCCGTCGGCGTGTATACATATGTATACGCCTGGGCACATTGTTCCTACGAAAAGTAACCGCAAGGTCGCAACGAAGGCGATGGCGATGGCAATGGCAATGGCGATGGCGATCCGCGTGAACAGGAATGCAGAGCGAATATTAAAGCCTCCGGCGACACTTCCACGTTCTGGTAAATCCGCTGGATGTTTACGAGCGATATCAGAATGCGTTTCACGCCTGATCGCGTCGAGAACAACAGGATGCTAAATCGATAACGGTTTTTGTTTCAGGTGTCTATCAACGAATCGGAATTCAACATCCTGTGGATGGGGAATCATCCGAAGCCGGACATTCTTCGCAATCTGATGCCTCATCAGAAAGTGAATCATTTCCCAAGGTACAGAGTAGTGTTGATGCATTGTTAAAAAATTATTCAAGAAACTCCAGGTAAAATTACTTGGACTTGGTTGTTAAGGATCTAAGTTAGTCACTTGGTAAATGTATACTGCTCACAATCTAATCGGAGGAATACTTTTCTGGGCAATTAAGGGGAATGAATGGAAATTGATGCGCGGAATGAGAGGATCACTGTACTTATACATGCTTTATACATTAGTTGCATAAAAGAACTACCGAGGACAGCATGTGTTTGTTAAATGTACTGTATCTTCGAGATTAGAGGAGGAAGTATTTTAGTAATTAACACTGAAATTATAGCCAAGCTGAACAACTGTTGACTCGTTCCAACTCTCTGTTACTTCATTTCAGGTCGTACGAAATCACGCGGAAGGACCGCCTGTACAAGAACATCGAAGCGATGCAACGCAGCAAAGGTCTAAGAAACCTGGACTTCATACCTCAAACCTTCCTACTGCCCAGCGAGTCGAGGGAATTGCTCACTGCGCATTTCAGGTATCGCGGACCCTGGATTGTCAAACCTAAAGCCAGTTCCCGCGGACGTGGCATTTATATTGTTAACAGTGTGAGCATAATAATTTTTAGATACGAGTTTAGGTTACGTGGCCTACACCGCATGTTTCTCGCGCTTTTCACCCACGATGGTCGCTTCATTTTTAACGAAAGACTCTACTCAATGTCTGCATGTTCCTCCATCTCTTCTATGCGTTTGTCGATAGGGAGGATCTGTTCATCAATTACATCACCCTGTAACGTCCAAAGCTTCTTTGACCTAGCGTGATGTAATTAATGAAGGGTACCCGCGTGTTCATATGCAATTTCATCAGCTACCAATACAGACTGTATTACGTTTCGCTTGCAGCCGGAGAAGATCCTTACGGATGAGTCTGTGATCGTTGCACAATACATAAACAATCCCCTTCTGGTCGACGGGCACAAATGCGATCTACGGTTGTACGTCGCCGTAACGAATTACGATCCGCTGTTGATATATCTGTACGAAGAGGGTCTGGTCAGATTCGCCACGGTCAAGTACGATGGTGGTAATCAGTACGTTTGGAATCCTTGCATGCATCTGTGCAATTACAGCATCAACAAATTCCACGTAGATTACGTCAAGTAAGCAACATCTGTACCATTTGCATCGTGTAGATTCCGAACCTGGACTTTGCTTAGCATTTTCACGTTTTCTGCAGAAGCGAGGACCCAGACGCTGAAGATGTGGGTCACAAGTGGACATTGTCGGCGTTGCTCAGACATTTGCGCTCTATGGGGCAAGACACGGAGTCGCTGATGCAACGCATAGAAGATATTATAATAAAATCGATCCTCGCGACCGCCTCTGGTATCGTTAGCGGCGTTAAGCAATTTGTCAAGCATCCAGAGACCTGTTTTGGTATGTTATGAAGACTATCACGTTAAGACTTGGTTTAGAGTCATGGTTTAAGGCCATTTTGTGATACATGTTTTGTTTTGTTTTTTTTAGAACTGTTTGGCTTCGACATTCTTATTGACGACACGTTGAAGCCATGGCTACTAGAAGTGAATTTGACGCCCTCGTTGGGGTGCGATTCGCCGCTCGACGTTAGACTGAAATCGGCTTTGATAGCCGATCTGCTCACCCTAGTTGGCATACCTGCGGTTGATCCAATTTTACGGCCACAAACTGTACATCTGAATCGAGCTACTGTTACCTCTACTAAAAGAATAGCTAGTGTAAGTTCCCCTTTGCGATTTTATCATCGTCAGTTGAGCTCGTATAAATTAGCATCTCGCTATTTCTAGTGTAGGAGAGTACACTCCGCTGAGACGTTGTCGCAAAGGAAGAAAAACGTAAACAAAAGCAATATAAATAAAACTGGATTAACAAGCGAACAGCAACGGATAGTAGCGTCTGCGAAGGCGCAGTTTGAACGACGAGGAGGATTCGTTCGTATATTTCCTAGTCCAAAATCGTGGGAAATGTACTCGCAATATTTAGGTAAATATGAATATTTATTATTATCTGTTGCGTTTCTATTGATTTTGTACTCAGTATTGTTCTGTATTTACAGATCCAACCACGGGGATACCAGTAGTTTCGGATCCATTAGGACCAGGCAGAGTTCCGCAACACGTTAACGCTAATTACAATCTTATGTTGCACGAACAATTGTTCCCTGCGGCTAGTCGCACTACTGGCTTCATCATCCCTGAAGTCACTCTGGACAGACTATCTAGGTATGTTCATAGAAACGTTCAAAACTCCATAATTTATCGTATATGTATAATACAATTCGTAATAATTTAATGCAGATATGAAAGATACGAGAGAGCTTTGGTAAAGGGTCACAAACAAAGCTTGGATCGCGGTGATAGCAAAGAAAACATGGACACCGATAAGCATAAGTATAAGAGTCAAGTGGTGCAATCCATGCACGATGGAAATAAACTTAGGTAGGTCATTGGAACATAAGACAGATCAGTTTGTATCTCTGAATTAAGTGAGGTGTTTGTTTATTGCGTAACAAAACTCGTTTTAGTCCTGGAGAAGCTAGAAAAGCCTTCGGTTTATACTTAGGCCACATATTGCGTAAGATATCGCAATCCAATGCTGACCCAGCGTGCTGCGAACTTGTGATAAAATTTCTTCAGCAGTCGGCTAGTAATTTAAGAACACCTTTCTTCTTCACGGTAAGCCACACACACATACCTGCAAACTGTCAGGGTCTTTTATTTCCTTATTCTCTCACACAGTTACCAAGCAGCAAATTAAGCGACAAAGATCGTGCTGCTGTTACTGCTAAGCAGCTGTCAGACTTTTTACATCTGTACAATCGAGAAACGGATCTTTACGCTGATACGGTGGATCGTCCTCGCACCGTTCCCAATAGGCTTTTCCAGAAATTCTTGGCCGCTGCAAGGTAAGTTTCCACTCGACCTCTTTCAATCATCTTTCAATTTATTAATTTAATTACCAATTAGCGAAGCGGACTTGGACGATATATTGATTCTGCAAACGAGACTGTACAAGTGTGCCCACAGCTTCTTAGGGAGAAGCGGTTTCGCAGGGAGCCTGCCAGGTCCTAATTTATTGGGCTCCCTGCCGCACATTACATCTCGCGTGTATTCAAATGCCGCCACCAGTGAGCAGTGTAAATGTAATCAGTCTATTATCAGGCCTACGAAAGCTCCGCGTACATAGCTGAGCTACAATCTGTGAATATCTGTTATAGCCGTGTTAGTTCGTTAAGATACTAAATACGGCTGTTCTAGGACTTCCCAGCACAAGTGGACAATCATCCACACATACACTCATACGTAGACACAATCTGAACGTTTCCCATCGAGAGTAAGCACAGAAAACATCACAAAGCTAATATTTTGGGTACGCTTCGAGAGCGCTTTAATGTTTGCTTATAATTGTTAAGCTAGACAAGTTCGTTATACGATACTTCCAACGAATATTCTCGAGCCTTCTTAAGGAAGTTTTTCTATAGTGTTCACAATTAAGTACACGTTCTTGTATGACGGTTTTATCTTAAAGCTAGTCTTCGGCATCATTGCTGGATAGAAATGTCTCGAGGATCAACATCCACCGAGCGTAGATTTCGCGAGTTTTATCGTACGAAACTGGTGGCCAATTGAATTGGAACATTTTTAGGATAAAATCTTTGAACAATTATCGAATATTAACAAAGAGAGGTTATGTCGGCCTATTGAGCAGACGATCAATGTTTGATTCTTAAAACGTGACAAGCTCACCGATTATTTACATCGCGAAAAATATTAAAATTTTCTTGCTTTAAATCGAAAACAAGAACGAACTTAATCTATCGTTCTTTCTGAACTATGTTTGCGAATGTTCGTCATCGTTGGATTGTGTACGTTTATTTACACTAACCAGTCGATTAGTTTTAACTAGTTCGCACTAAGTTTTATTACCATCAATTTCAGAGGCAGCTTAGTATTACGTAACGACTACCATATTTAATAATTCTAACAAACATGTTCCTACTTAACTATACTTTGTTTGGTGAGAGCAATGTTTTTTTTCTCTTATTTATGCATAGTTTCATTAAATGTCTTTACTCATCTAGTCAAATTAAAAGGCAGAAACGTAACTGTGGCAGTTATCATGTTTTAATTCTTTTTGTTTTTTTTTTTGTACGATTATTTTGTTGTATGTTCAAATTGTATATTATTTAAGAACATTTCGTCTGAAAGTTTCAATTCGTCCAACAACGGATATATAGTTGCTAGGCGTAAGATATAAATGTTAACAGTTTATACACAAAACATTCAACGAATCGATTTAAAGTGAACGGACGGTGTAGCGTTAATCTGGTTAAGAATTATCCGCGTGATCAAGTATCTCGAAGTGCAATAGGTGATAAGAGTACAGTTAACGAACTCGAGCGAGAATTGTTATTAAGATAAAACAAAAATGTACTTTTCGCGGCGATGATGGTACAACCACTCGCACAATGACTTATGTCGTGGTTCGGTGACACGCTTAACGATATTACCTTTCCTGTGAATTGAGTTCAAATGAGACGCACGCGTCGTCCACAGGATTTTTTACTGTGGCTCGACGATGGAAATAAAAATGAGAAATGTATGGTTTGGCAGGTACCAATCCAGTAGAGTAAAATTGTCGTATCCATCCATGTAATGCCGTCAGTATTTAATACACAAGGATTTGCAGCTTAGAATTCCAAAGAATATATTTCAGTCGCATATTTTGCAGGCTTTGTCATCCACAGCATATTCATTGTACGCGATTCGACGGTCATATATCGCAGGCTTTCTCACCTGTAACATTCATTATATGCAACGACGTTCGTGTATTTTCATTTCCGTTGCTAGATCCAGTTGGATCCAGCCTGAATCATTGGTAGAACACAAACTCAACTCATTTGCTGTGATACGAATGCATACGATGGATAGATATCAACCCTTTGCGGACTTGCGTCTTGCTCCAAAATGCCCGTCCGCGAAGGGTTGAGCGAAACGTAGTATCTTGCACCATCATTATTCAGTATATTAAATGTTGCAGTGAGTTGATCTCACGTAAAGTGAATAAAAACGGTCCTAACGTTGTCTTTGCTAAACGGTTCTAATGTTATCCTTTGCTAGTTGGGCACAAAGGAAGGTATACTATCGTACATTGAGACATACAAAAATATTGTTGATACCATTATTGTATTCATAGCGCGACGCGTTGGAATCGGCTTCTTCTGGCATTATTCATTTTCATTTCGAATTTTATAGGAGTATCCCTGCATGAAGAAATTATGCAACGAATAAGCTTAAAACTATGGCGCTAAATGCCGATTATGTAATCATGTTCACCTTTTCTCATCGCATTGAATCGTATTGTTTTTCTTTTTTATAATAACTTGAATTTTATAGATAAGAATTGGGCGAAATTACTCGATTTGTTTTCTAACATGTGAACAATTGTGTTATAGTCTCTTTTTATTTATAGCGTAAGATATACTTCATCTTTAAAGATTCATTGGTTAAAGTATTATTTCACATAAGAGAAATTAATATATTTATTTAAACGAGGGATATTATGTTTAGTTTAATATTTTATTTAAATTGTACACGTTCAAATGTTACCTTTCATTGCTTGAATTTATATCTGCATCTTGCATAGAATATCTCTTTAACAAAATATACATGCATATCTGTTCCATCTCGAGGTTTGCGTCCATTATAAATGTGTAAGAAGCTTCGTCATCTTAATTTAAGGTTATCATGTAGAGAAGTACGTACTGCCATTATTTTGTAAATATATCTTTTCTTTGTTATCCTAATATATTTTTGATGTCATGGACGATTTGATTTTATAGCGAAACCTTTGTGTGACGAAAACGTGTAAATCATAAACAGCCAAGATCCACAAAACTTATTGTTTACAATTGTATTCCTGACAAACATATGTACGGCGATGTCAAATGCTTTACTTAATCGAGTATGTACTATTTTCGAGTCAAAGCATTAGAGATAATTAAATCTTGCATAAGAAGCCTGTCCAGACTCCAAGTGAAGAGTTCTGAGTTACAAGACTACCGTTTCCCTATGCAGAGGTTTCTTATTTCACCCTCCAAGGTAATCTTGGTCGAAGGGTTAGTAATTAACACTTGTTACGTTTAAACAGATGACGAGTAAGGCGTGAGAGTTTACATGAGTTTTTAATATATTACAAATATTAAATGAACTATATGACATATATATTATTATTGTACTTAAATTTTCACAAGCTGTTAAGCGAAGAGCCTTCTGTAATTGTGTACGTTTGCAATGAGAGTCATTTGTTGTGTTGTATGACAGTATGTATGTTAGTAAAGTTGCGAGAAGGTACAGATATCAATTCACGCGTAAAATTGAAGTTTGCTTCGTGTCTTTATGCAGTAAGTTAATTATTTTGAGCGTTTATGCTCGTAAAACTTTGCAGATCAACTTGGTATAATCGAAGGTTACGCTGTATCGGTATTTTTCAATGTTTTCCATAGAGAATGGTGAATGCAAGAACTTTTATCTAACGAAGAAGAATCAAAGGAGGAGATTGTAAAATACTCGATGATGATTAAACGATGAAATTATTTGAGTCGATGAAATTAGCAGATGTATATAAAACGAAGAAAAAAAAGAAAGAAATTGTCAATACATACCTCTGTGTTGCGTACGCGACACTCCCTTCCTACCTGTGATTTGTAAAATTTACTAGTCAGCTTACTGCATTTACTATGAATAGAATAATTGCTATGTACAACTATTTTATTATAATCTAATATATAAAAGAAGAAAATGGTTACTCGGTATTATGACAACTGCGTTGAAACGCGAACGGGGAACATCGCGACCGAAATAATTGTAATTTATAAACAAATTGAATCTCGTTAATGCCTATTGTTTCGTCGGTTGCTGTAGGGCCGAGTTATCACGCAGCCTTTTTAGATCTTAAATATTCGAATGATATCGAAAGGCATCGATTGTATGTACCTACAAGCATACGTATTTTCGCATTGTAAAGTTATCTTCAATTTCAAGTATTGGAAATAAAAAGTAATAACTCGAATTGTTTATTTCATTTCTCCTTAACATTTGTACATTTCATGGATCCTAACCAGGATTAGTGTAGGGACCGGAAAGGGGAGGGGAGGTAGCTGAGATAATTCTAAACTACAATTTTCTTTATAAAATATTTATAAAGAAATATAAAAAAACATATTCATAATTTCTTAGGATAGATAATTCGAAAATCGTGGTAAACGCTCGACTCGCCATCTAGCGGCCAACTCCCCGAAGCTGAACTGCGTGAGTGCAAGAGAGAACGGAATAGTGTGCGACTAGGACAGATCTATGCGAGAGAGAACGCAAGGGTGTGTGACAGGGATAGACCTATGCCCGCGAGTGCGAGGGAGAACGCAAGGGTGTGCGACAAGGATAGACTTATGCGAGAGAGAACGCAACGGTGTGCAGCAAGGATAGACCTATGCGAGAGAGAACGCAACGGTGTGCGAAAAGGACAGATCTATGCGAGAGAGAACGCAACGGTGTGCGACAAGGACAGATCTATGCGAGAGAGAACGCAAGGGTGTGCGACAAGGATAGCGACTATTGACACCACGTCATCGAATGCTAATAGACATTATCCTTAATTTCTTAACTTTCCACAGATAATTTATAAACTTTTGCAATCGTGATGCGAAGTACAGATCATTATCTACATTCAAGGACCACTTTTAGTTCGATTTTAATTACCATTAAGTAATTATCAATCATTATTGCAAGGTGGTCACATGCACGGCATCGCTAGTCCTCGCATTAATTGATTGTTTTTTAAACTTTCTGCAAAGAAATTATGCACTTTCGCACACCATAAATAAAGTCTGGATCAGTAGCAACATTCAAGGCCCATTTTTGATACGATATGATTTGTTATTAAGTAATTTAAATTAATAATAACATATGTTAACGTTCAGCGTGCCGACAAAATGGCTGTTGTAGTCGCTATCCTTGTCGCACAACGTTGCGTTCTCTCTCGCATAGATCTGTCCTTGTCGCACACCGTTGCGTTCTCTCTCGCATAAATCTATCCTTGTCGCACACTTTTGCGTTCTCTCTCGCATAGATCTATCCTCGTCGCACACTGTTGCGTTCTCTCTCGCATAGGTCTGTCCTCGTCGCACACTGTTGCGTTCTCTCTCGCATAGGTCTATCCTTGTCGCACACCCTTGCGTTCTCTCTCGCATAGATCTGTCCTTGTCGCACACCCTTGCGTTCTCTCTCGCATAGATCTGTCCTTGTCACACACTGTTGCGTTCTCTCTCGCACTATGCACATAGGTCTATCCTTGTCGCACACCTTTGCGTTCTCTCTCGCACTCGCGGACATAAGTCTATCCGTGTCGTACACCGTTGCGTTCTCCCTCGCACTCGCGGACATAGGTCTATCCTTGTCACACAATTAGTGCGTTTCTCTCGTACTTACGCAATTAAGGTTCGGGGTGTTGGCCGTTAGATGGCGATACCCGTTACGTGATGGTATTACTATAGTTTATAAACGTATTTGCCATAACATACAATTATAGTTTGAGAATAAAACATACTCTTAAACAATTAATATGAACCTGTAAATACTGAAATTTACAATATATATGATCATAACATTATACTCGGTGATAGTTTATTACTTTTCTTTCTGCTTAACCTCAAAATGTATGGATCTGTTTATAACATGAATAATGATTGTTTTCACACGTATTTTTCGTGACTGCAACAGTTTAAACAGTTGTCTGAACTTTCTTTAAACATTAAGTATATCTTATTGAGTTCTCCATGTGTTCAGTTCTGAAACCAAATGCTTTAAATTTGTTCACACGATGCCCTGGATTATATTGTGGAAGAGAATTATTGCTCGATGGAAATTGGAGCGATTGTGGTGCATGTCCTCGAGGATTTAGGGCAAATTTATCTTCAGTATGTGTCCCTTGCGAGGACGAGCCTATGTTCTACGATTGGCTGTATCTCGGTTTTATGGCGTTATTAGCATTAGTGTTGCATTGGTTTTGTATTGACATGGTATCCATGAGGCGTAACTTACCGAAGGAAGTGATAGCCTTACATGCATCAGCTTTATTCGAAGTTGTTGCTGCAGCTCTTATTACTTTGCAATTGACAGATCCTATAGGTACTTTTGGAATTATATCCTGCAGAGCTACTAAACTTTCAGACTGGTACACGTTACTACACAACCCTAGTCCTAATTATGAAGAAACTCTACATTGTACACAAGAAGCAGTTTACCCCTTGTTCGTACTTTTATATTAGTTAAATTATAACCCTAATCTTTAACATCATGAATATTTATCTTTTATTGAATTTTTAGGTACACAATGGTTTTCGTCTTTTATGCTCTAGGAACTGCTATTATGTTATTGTTAAGGCCATTGATAGCTAAGAAATTTTTACCAAAGCAGGGGAAATTTTCAATTTATGCTGCTCTTTACTTCTATCCAATCTTAGCATTACTACATGCAGTTGGCGGTGGTTTGATATGTAAGTAGATCAATCTGTATTCTATTACAACAATATATCTCAAACATTCTTAATTCTTTTACAGATTACTCGTTTCCATACATAACGATAACGTTATCTGTTTTGTCTAATGCAACACATTTTGCATTTAAATTAAATCAGGTACAATTATTCAAATGTATCAAAATATTTCAATTAGCATAGATTGTGTTAATATACATTTATTTTTTTCAGACAATGAAATCATTATTATTGAGCTCTGTATCAGATATGAAAAATGTAATAGTCATCTTAGGCCATTGGCTCCTACATGGATATGGCATAATGGCTGTAGCGACGCTTCGTGGTGTTAGCGTTCATCCAGCGATGCTTGCTTTAGTACCTTTACCTGCGTTATTTTATGTTCTTACAGCTAGGTTTACAGATCCACATAAACTTCACATTGAATAAATATTGTTACAAAAATTACTTATGTAAGATTAATAGAAGGTTGAAAGGAGAGGTTTTATGTTACAGGGGTAAATGACGACATTGTATGTTCTTGCATCACATTTAATTATACGTGCACACTTGCAGTTCACAAAAGTAATACATGACTGCATTTAATACATAAATGCCATTATTCGAGATAACATACGAGAGATTATTTTTAATAAGTAGAATGTTTCGTACGCTACGATTAATTTAATTCTTTGGCACAAACGTTAGAACGACCGTGCTCTTAGCTGATATAGGAACCTTGTTAGAGGGCAGCTTTGTCCTGCAATAAAAAGAATCTCCCATTTTTAACAACCGGTTTTGATTGTTCTATAAAATTAAAAAAGAAATGATTATACGATTTCTTACCTTATCGTATCACCATCTTGTACATAGTTAGGACTATGTGCAACCACGCTAACTTCTTCTGAAATTTGTGGTATCATGGACAAGTCTACTACAGTAGGCTCCTCCGCTGTTTGGTATGCTACCAGGTAGCCAGGATTGCCACTCTTTAACCTGAGCATTTATTTATAGTTTCAATATAATTTTAAAATTGAATATACAGAAATAATATATTAAATTAATACGCATGCAATTTCGCTAGAACGTAATAACCATTAATCTACAGTTATTCTACAAAGGATGCATTCATACAATATGTTAGTAAGACTCACCAGCTCCTTTGTCGCATAGAAGGAAGCGTGGAACAGGGCAAATTAATCTTTGGTTAGTAAATTACATAGTACATTTGTGTGAGTCGTGTAAGGTGTATGTTATTTGAGGTGTGGCATCAAAAGACGATTCAAATGATTCATAGCAATTGAGATTTAAATTAACCTTTAGTTAGTTCTATCTTTTAAAAGTTTCAACGTTATTTACACGGCTAGTAATTAGCTTTCTATCAGTAAATTACAAAGGATGTTTAGTCTATGGGTTAGACATGTTTGAATGTTAATAATGAATTATTTATAATTCTGTTGAATTACCTTGTGTAGACAAATACACTTCCATTAACAGTCTTAAACGATGTCTCCCCATAAAGGAACGTCGAACTGTGTCGCGATTTAGCCAGAGTTGCGAATGCCTCTTTTGCAGATAAAGTATCGTTCAACTTCAATACCGGAGTACCAGGTAAAAGTAGCGTCATTAGCGTCAAACTATCTGCTATATCACCAGGCATTCTCTGCCTCAAGCTACTCTTTTTACCGTTAAGCTAAAAGAAATACGCGATATTGTAGATTTATGACTCGATGAAAGACGTTGATTGATACTATGGAAACTCACATCCCAAGCAGGCCAAGAAGTAAAGTTGAGCCATTGCGAGAAACCTTTATGCAAAGTTGTAGCGTTTATGCTACTATTAGCAGTAATAAGGAATTGAGAACTTTGTGGGATATCAATCAATTTCTTTTTTTCATTGTAAACTTGTAAGATATCAGTTCCAATATCATCTTGAAGGGTGAACAACCTGAAAAAGTATTATAATTAGCAAATTAATTACAGGACAAACACGCGGGTGAAACCGCGGGGCATAGGTAGTCAATTGATATAACTGACCCAGTATTGGTGGTTTCATTATAAACTGTTTCTTGCCATGTAGACAAGACTGCAGCATTTTCTGGACGACCTCTCGTATAGGCGTGTACCAACGAATCATAATTATCTGCTTCGGTAGGAATAGTGCTCCTGAACTCATCGTGAAGTTGTGGATCTTCGGTTAAATATTGTGTATTGGCTAAACGGAAACCACTGACGCCTATCTTCAGCCAATGCTTTAAAACGTCCTGTATTCAAGATGGAGTATTATTTAGCGTTTTTTTGATTGTAGTTTGTCAAAATTAGTAACAAGCTTACAGCAAATTCTGCAATTACTGCTGGATTATTGTAATTCAATTTAGGTTGAGTTTTATTGAAGTGATGAAGATAATACTGTCCTCTTTGTTCGTTCCATTCCCATGCAGATCCACCATACAAGCTTAGCTGAAAGTAATATATATTGTGAAAGATTGTGTACAACGAAAGGAGTGTAGTTTTAAAAAATGTGTAACTAACCCAATTG